GACCCTCTGTGATCCATTCCTAAGCCACATCTTTTTGGAAACTCTTTTCTCTCCACTCTTAGTCTCCATTGTACATTCCAAAAAGAATCGTGCTCTAAGAATTTAGCCTCTTGACTGGTCCATTTATAATCACTACTGAATTTATTTAACCATGGCATTTGCAGTCTGTTTTACTTACACTTGTCCTGTGGATGGAGACATTTCAGGGAAGAGCTGCTGACAGAATTGGCTTTGAGACACTGCCGAACTACCACTCCCACCTCCCCAGTCATCACCCGACTTCCTGAAGGTAGAATGAGGTGTATCTATAGTCCAGTGAAATGCCATCTTGGGAGCCTGCTTTCCTTAGAAGCGGGGCAGAAGTGGCAGCAGAGCTGGGGAAAGAAATCACTGTAGCACATTCACTCCCAGCCTGCTGCCTTGACTAGTTTTTTTCCTGTTTTACTCACTTGGTTTTGATGAGCCCTTAGCTCACATCAGGAAATGCTCCAAGGAAAATGGAGGCAATTTTTCCTGCTGTCAAGATGAGATTTGCCTAAACTTCCCCACCCCCTGCATCCTCAGAGTGCAAACACATCTGCTCATTTCTAAGCTTTATCCTGATGTATTCCGGGGTTTGTATTTCACAAAAATTGTGCTCCCTAGACACATTTTTGACTCGGCACTTCTGAAGAAACAAATACTGATCAGAGGGTCTTGTAGACAAAGTGGTAAAAACTGACTTTCTTATAGCCTGGAGTTGATTTCTGGAAACTTATTTTATACTTTTTGAAGGTAATTTAATAAAGACATGATTCCTTATTACAGCCAAAAAGTTAAATTCTATTAGATGGCTAATAAACTTTTGCTTTCTTTGCATGGTAGTTGCATCATTTTCCCTCCAAGGGCCTCACATCTGTGCTCTTATTTGCAAGCAGTCCCAGGACAAAGGGACGGTTCTAGGGCTCTTTTCTCTGACTTCTGTGGGCAGGCTTCTCCCCTGGTAGATGACTGTGAGGACCGAGGATGCACGTTTCTAGGAGGGGAATTAGTTGCCAGACTTCTCTGAAGTGCTTTTCCTGTCAGGGTATTAGTGACTACAGCGTTCAAACAGTAGGCCAAGACATGACAGGAAGTTTTAGATTGGGCCAGCTTTCCTACCGCAGTTCTCCTAAGTCACTGACTTGAGGTCAGTGGGTTCAAAAAATTCTTTGTTTCAAAATACACCCTCAAATCAAAGATTACCTCTGGTGAGAACACTCTTAAAGACTGGACACTGAATAAACATTTTTCAGTGTGGGGAAGGTTTGCTTGGCAAATCTTCTTTCCAAGTATCTCAAGAACTTGTGAGACGTGGAAGGACTATTGCTGTCTTTCCTGGGAAAAATGTGTGCTCAGCTGCTTGGGCTCCAGTTTGTGTGGGAAGGTTTATCTCAGTCCAGACTCTTCAGGCCTGGTTTATACCCCTGGCCAGACATGGCTTTGGGAAGAGCTCCATGGGAGACCAGAGCATTTAGGGACATATTTATATCTAGTTATTTGGTGTGAAGAAATAAAGGGAGCAGATTCAAAATTCATCGTTTTGTTTTAAATTGGAAAACAGATTCCTCAGTCTTACAGTAAACAGTCGGCAAGTTTGAGATGTAATGTTCTGTGTTCAGTGGGGACTACTGTTTTGTGTTAAAGCTCTACCGAGAAACTTAACTACTGTATATATTTTATTTTTGAGATCACCTACCTTTGTCGGAATCAGTCAGACTGTGTGGCCTTGAAATGAAGACACTGTGTCTGAGGACAGGGAAAAATGGTTAAGAAATCCAGGTTAAAGAAAAGTAAAGCTTCTTATTAATTTTATAGATGAATGTCCCGCTGCCTGTTTAAAGGACTTGCTTTCTGCTGTGTCTAGATACCTAGCAGTGCGAGAACAGTGTGGCGTGCTGCGTTCCTGTCGGGAGGTGTGTGCCGGGCAGTGTGGGTTTCTGCTTTCTGGCTGCCTGTGCCTGTGGTCATCCCTGCTTCTTAGCAGTAGTGCATGTTTTTCTTCCATCATCCTCAAGGTTGCTCTGGTAGAGATTTCATTCTCAGGGCCTCCCAAAAGTTGTGTATCATTTGAAATTGTTCTATTTGAGGAAAACCTTTAAGAAAAGCTGGATTCTCTGGTCACCAATAAAGATCATCATGAGAAACAAAAGTATTTAAGCCCTAAACTACAAAGCCAAGTGAGGAATTGGAGTGTCAACTGTATGGCAATAGCTAGATCATAGTTACCATTTTTCCCACCATCAAAGAGATTAAATAGTTTCCATAACATGGAATTTGGATAAGGTTCCTACCCTAATACAGACTTAAATATGCAGTTGTTTGTCTCAGGCTATTTGTGGTGAATAAGCAGAGTATTTATTTAAAAATGACCAAGCAGCCCTGGAAAAACTGCTGGGCTTTAAAGTTGTTGACAAAGTATTTCTTAAATAAATATGTCTGATTTAGAAATATCTAAACATGGACAACACAATTTTTAAATCTGACATGCAATTGCATGTGGCTTTTATAAGTGGTTCCTTAAAAACAATGCTAATGTGACTTAAGGATTTGTAGTTCTATTAAAAACCACTTCTAAAAGTATCTTAGGGTAGCTTGAAAAGTTTGCCTTATTATTTTAGGTCTCAGCAGAGCTATGCTTATGGCAAAAGGAAATATCTTAGGTCTAAACAGAACACTGAACTTTCTTGGCTGTGACCAACTTTTCTGAAGTTCACCATGAGTTTTCACTGACCATCTTTGCAGAGATGATGTACTGAGCAATTCCTCTCCCCAAGGAAACCCAGCAGGGCCTGGGTCTGCTGTACCTCTGACCAGCTGCTGGGGAGGCGAGGCTCCCTGTTAGTCAGTACATACTGTAAGGTTGGGAGCTCCATCTAGCACCCAAGAAGGGGCTGCCTGGTGTTCTACAATGCCTGTAAATGGTGTTTTCAAAATGCCTAGGAAAAAATTCTGTAAAGAGATGGCAGACTGTTCGTCTCATGGTGTAAAACTCCTCAGAATTTTTTTTTTCAAAGGAAAAGTATACCTTTTAAGTTCAACTTCCTTAACTACTGGCAACAGAGAGAAGTTCCTAATTTATGTTTTAAATTAGGCACCATTTTGCTGTGGGTTTTGTGGAATCCTAGAGCTCCTTAATAGTACATTTCGGTGGTCCTAGGGAGAGTTGTGACTAGCAGTGGAGTTCTTATTCCAGCTGGTTGTGTGCTTTTCACTTTCCTGTCTTTGGACCCAGAGAATCATTTGCCATGGAATCATCTGGCTATTAAGAGACACTTATATGGATGTAACACAAGAAGTGGTAAATCAAAGCCATCATGTGGCCGTAAAAGGGACAATATGTAAATATACTTACTACGATAAGGTAGCTCTGTAGATGTAATATATTCATAAACTATTTGGGTTTAAGAAAACTTGGGACTATTTTAAACTGGGACATCTCCATCTTGAATGATAATAATTAGTAATTGGGATGACCACACAGTCTCCTAACATGGGCAACAGTCTAATTGCTATTGCAATTGCATTTCTGACCTGATTCTTTTAAAGGGGCATATATTCCCAATAGATACCATTTAGAATGTATGTTTCTTGGATGACTTATTCTAAAGCCATATATATCCAAAGTAGTGAGGCTATACTACTAAGTAATCGGGCTATGTTCCCTGCTTATAAAATGAATTTTTTTTTAAAAGCCTCACTTCACAGTCTGTTACAAAAAACTTTATGGGGAAAAAACTGTGAGGCCTATGAAATACCACGAATATAATCATGTTATATCAGTTCTTGAATATTTCTTTTTAACCAAAAGAGATCCGGGAACATTTTCACATTCCTTGAAAATACATATTTCCTTTAAGAGAATGTCAAACTGATGTTACTACACCAAATCTAAACCCACCTGAAGACCAATAGCTGTTACAGTTGTGCTACAGAATAGGTCAAAGGCAGCATTAGAAATATTACACTTTATTGAATTCTAGAGCAGCTAATCTACCCTCCCCTGTTGACCAATGACAAGAATAGAAGAAAATATATGATGGCTAAACTAAGAGTCTATATAACCACTGTTTAAGATGTTGGAACAACTTTCACTGTACTGGTGAAACAGTTTTAATACCCTAACATATACAGTAACAATTCATTCTTGTTTAAAACAAGAAGTGATTTCGACTTGGGATTTTTTTTCTTGAGGGGTTTCACTCTTGTTGCCCAGGCTGGAGTGCAATGGCATGATCTTGGCTCACTGCAAACTCCATTATTTCCCAGGTTCAAGCAACTCTCCTGCCTCAGCCTCCCAAGTAGCTGGGATTACAGGCATGAGCCACCACGGCCAGCTAATTTTGTATTTTTAGTAGAGATGGGATTTCTCCATGTTGGTCAGGCTGGTGTCAAACTCCCGACCTCAGGTGATCTGCCAACTGGCCTCCCAAAGTGTTGGGATTGTAGGCGTGAGCCACCGCGCCTGGCCTCGACTTGGGATTCTGAGTGAATTTATTCAAACTGATTGTGCTCTCTGCTTTAGTAAGGTTCTGGCTTACAGAGCCCTCTTAATGTTCAACAACTTTAATATACAGCAGTCAACTCTAGAGGATAAAGAAATCTGGAATTGGGTAGCATGAGCCACAGCTATATAGCCCACACTGATGAATGTTCTACTGTAGGATAAGAAGGAAGTTCCTCCCTTTCTTTTCTGGGGACTTGTTCCTTTGTCCTCTTACAGCTAAATTCTTTCCATAGATTTATCACAGATAAGGAAAAGGTTGTTTTTGGATAACAAATAATAAGCATTTGTGCCAATAACAAAAAAAGTATTAAGAATACTGTCTTTTCCCTCAAAATTGAATCCTACCTTAAAGCAAGTAGAAAATACATCTGTGCAAAGCCACTGATTGATTGATAGAGGCAGCCTTGCCAGAGTCACTGAGGATGATTTAAAGGCTTATAAAAGGAAACTTGACCTTAACAGAGACTACAGCTGATCATGGATATAATATATTTCTCCACTGATGATATACAATACACCATGTAATGCACTGAAAAAGGTGGATCTTGGAGTTGTTGTTATAGCACAATTTGTAACATTACAGCATTTCAGATCACCTCTTCCCACTCTTTTTGTTCTACTCTTGAGACCCTTCACCACCCCTTGTGTATCCAGATACACTATGACATACTGATGATTTTTAAAAAGTGTCACAAGCCACAATGGAGCCAGCATGCAGTTCAGCCTGGTTTTACCCTTATTTTCTTCTAATACAGACTCCATTACAGTTTTGGACCACCTGCAGAGAGTACAGATACACAAAACCAAAACAAGTATCTCTCTATGATAACAATAGAATCTTCAGAAACTTTTCAGATGTACCTTTCATGTAGCCCCCCTCCCTCCCCCCCAGTAGAACCCTAACAGGGACATCTGTTCCTGTGAGTCCTGCCAGGACTTGTTTAATGGGTGCTCGGTGTTTTGGTTTTCCTCCTTATTCTTCCTCTTCCTCATCATCATCTTCATCATGGCAGTGTGTAATTTCCTGGGGAGCCAGTGGGAAGAGGTTGGGAGGTTTAATCTCACTAATTGACCGTGTCAACTGGTGCCGCTTGTAGTCAGTGTCTTTGAAATCCACTGATGTGCGGTTCCGGGTGGCAAGAGGAGACTCCATCTCATTGATATCTACATGTATGTGCTCCACCGTTGATTCATGAGGCATCTAGATAGAACAAAGCCAGAGGCTCAGAAAGCAGGCAGAGCAAAGTAGCTTCTTCCCAAATCCTAACCCCTCTCCTCTGTTAGGTGGCCATGCAGTTACACCAATAATGGACCACAGGACAAGTCAATTTAGACTTATCTTCACAGAACTACTTTTAGCTGCCTGTCTTCTTCACAGAACTACTTTTAGCTGCCTGTCTTCCTCTCTCCCTGCCCCTCAAAATGGTGCCCATGTTGTCTACTGCAGCCTGAAATTGGAAAAGAGTTTATTTTCTATTTCACAGCAAAAACAAAATAGTCCCGAAACAGATCAGAATATAGGAATATAAAAACCACATTTTCTTTAAGACAGGGTCTCACTCTGTCACCCACGCTAGAGTGCAGTGGAGCAAATCACAGCTCACTGCAGCCCTGACTTCCTGGGCTCAATCAGTCCTCCCACGTCAGCTTCCAAATTGCTGGGGTTACAGGCATGAGCCACCATGCCTGGCCCACATAAAACTTTTTAATAGAGTAGACTTCAGAGAGTAAAGTTGTACCCTGTGACTTCCAATTTTGGTTCTGCTTTCTCAAAGACCCCTTCTTAGGCAACCATACAACCTGCCCATGGGCTCTGTACATCAGAAAGAAATGTTCAAACTATCTCCTGTGCCATCTCATAAAGCTGGTTCCTGATCCTGGGCTTAGAGTACATCTTGGCTATCCATTATAACTTTAACTCACCAAGACATGGGCAGCCCTGAAGAGGTAGCTGAATGGGTAATACAGCAGGTTGATGAAAGACGCTGCATAGAGGTCGGCGTAACGCATCACTTGACTGGCAAAAAGGGTCTGCCGGGAGCCACTGCGAAACAGGCTTCCCATCATCCCATAGCACATGTCCATGTCATGAGTTACTTTCTAAAACAAAGAACAAGATTGATTCTCAGCTTTTTCAACAAATATTTATTAAGCAGTAGTAGTTGAGTGCCAGTCTCTATAAAAATCAGAAATGTGAAAAAATCCTTTTTAAACTTTATTTCCCAAGTTTCCTCCCAAATCTCATTTGGATACCTTAATACGTCTCTGGATGGAACTAATGTCTGGACGCTCATTGCTACTGCTGTCAAGGTGCCTGAAGATAAAAGAAAAACTCAGTGAACATCTCTGATAAGAGTTTTTTTGTTTGTTTGTTTTGTTTTTTTTTAAAGTAACACTGTTATTCAGAGTGACAGTGGAGCGATCTCAGCCCAATGCAACCTCAGCCACCTGAGTTAGCTGGGATTACAGGCATGCACCACCACACTCAGCTAATTTTTGTATTTCTGCTAGAGATAGGGTTTTGCCATGTTGGCTAGGCTGGTCTCAAACTCCTGGCCTGAAGTGATCTGCCTGTGTTGGCCTTCCAAAGTGCTGGGATTACAAGCATGAGCCACCGTGCCCAGCCTGGAAATAACTTTTTTTTTTGAGATGGAGTTTTGTTCCCGTTGCCAAGGCTGGAGGGCAATGGCCCAATCTCAGCTCACTGCAACCTCCGTCTCCCAGGTTCAAGTAATTCTCCTGCCTCAGCCTCCCAGCACGCCCAGCCTGGAAAGAACATTTCTTATATCTAAGTGATTCCTGAAGAAGTTTTTTTTAGGAAAGACATTTTTAGAAAACTTACTTGTAGAGTTCAGCCAAAAAAATATCCAAGCTCTGAAGCTCTTCGAAAAGTGCTAGTTAAGGTTTGGAAAGAAAAGGAAGATATTTTAAATAAATAAGCACCCAGTTCTTAACCGCTGCTAAAACTAGAAGGTTACAGATGTCATTGAAAAGTATAATCTGGGACTAACATGCTATAGGTGAGTATATAGTGACATACTCCTTCCCTTCATCAGGATAACTCATTGATACGGGCTTGGTGTCCGATAATAGGTGAACACCATCATTTTCTCTTAAATTACCTTTCCTCCTGCTTAAACACCATGACTACAATTTTCCCTTCCAGCCCAGAATTTATACTGTCTCAGGTTTAGTCAGCTAAGCAAGTGTTAACAGTCCCATTTTTAGATGAAATATTGAGAATTAGGTGACTTGTCCTGAGTCACAGGTCCAGGGTCAAATCAACCAGATTTCTAAAACTTCACAGGCGGTAAGTTGAAAATGTGAAACCCACTGACAGTACAGACAATAATAACAGCAACAGTCAGGATCTACAACATGCTTCCTGTGTGTTGCAGCCTATTTCAACCTGGGTTCCTCAGAATTAAGCCCCCCTCCATCTATTGTATATAACACATTTTCTTCTATCTACCATCTTTAGAAGAACTGAGAAAAGTGTTACTTAATTTTCTGTATTCAGCTCCATTAGGTAAAATAACGATAATTTTCTGTGTTTCAGATGAGGAGCCTTGGTTGAGAGAGGCTGTCATGTCTATCTTCTTTATACACATATTACCTAAGTTTTTCATCAGCTTTAGGAGATAGGTATTATCCCCATTTTTACATTTGAGGAAACTAAAGCACAGGGTGTCTCAATAACTTGCCTAAGGGCATGCAGATTTCAAGTTAAGGAGCCAGGGCTCCTACCCCAGGCAGGTTGAGTTTCCGGAGTCACTTTCACCACGCTGCAGGTAATGTGCACCAAGGCTGGCTGGAGAACTTGTATATCAAACAATGCTTTAAGACTATATCTGTAACTCAATTCAGCATAGTATATATACTGCATATACACAGTGTAGCTTACTTCAGGAATACAATATGGCCTCATTCTCTATATCTCAGAAGAGTAAATAAAAAATACCAGAGGTGATTAACATTCAGAGCCATCACTGCCCCAGAATTACAGATACGGGCTGTTAGCAGAGAGACTGGTACTACTAGGCATGGTTGGGGAAATATGGGTCCATGGAGGAAAAGTTGAGTTCCAGTTCACAACTCAGTGTTACTGTAACACAACTCAAGACACCAACATTCTATACTTGACTTCAAAGAGATTCAAGAAGGTTAAACAAGATAACCTCTCATGTTTATTCAAATTCTGGAGTTCTGTAAAATATCTGAATATTCTATGGGAAGGAGATATCCAAATATCAAGGCCCACCTTTTGACCACCTCTGAATTTCTGAATACAAAGGAATGGTTTATCAAAGAGGACTGATTGACAGCTGGTCATTTCGATATACAGTGCATCAGAGGTTTATGAAATGGCTTACAACTCTTGTCGGTCCAGACATGCAGCTCCTGCGCAAGTTCAGGAATCACCAAAAAAGTTCGCCACCCTTGTCGTTTCTTGGATTTTAAAATGTCCCCAAAAATGTGATCTCCAATATACAAAATGTCTTTTCCCTTGGCTCCCAACAGATCACAGATTGTATCAGAAGAACCTGAAACAACAGTGAACAATGAGAAAACTGTCTCTATATTAAAATCAGCATTCCAAGTATTATAACCATTAAATTCTATGATTCATTTTATTCTTATAGTTATGTCAGGAACAGATGAAAAAAATAAAGACTTACCATTCTCTTTTTATTGCCTTCAAAGACAAGGCCTTCAGCTCCACTGTGCTGACCAGAGCTCTTGATCAGCAAATCCAAGAGCAACAAAACTATATCCTCATATTAGTGAAAATAACCTTCAAAAGAGCCACTGCCAGTTTCATCACAAATCTGCCATTAAGCTGGCTTTATTCAACTGTTTGTAACTACAACATACTATATACCTATGCCCACGGAGCTCCTTGAAAAACCCTTGAGAACATTTTGAGAAGTACCCCCAAGTGATTCCAGGTACTGAAAAAAAGCCTCCAATAGGATTTAAAAAAAAAAAAATGATTTTAGTGAAAATCAGATTCATTTGGCTATACTAACAACTGCTTAAACCTAGACCCCTGTTGCATTAAGAGATGACTAAACAATTAACTTCAATAGATGACATCTTAGAATACTAAAGAGTACACGTGGCAGTTTGCTGAGAGATCACCAAAGCTTTCACAGTGAGAGGTCTGAGCAAAAACTTACATTAAATAAAGGGAAGTCTGACTAACCTCCTGAGTAGACGATACCATGCTGTAGGGGGCCTGTGTAGGTACCAATTTTCAGCTTGCCAGTTTTCTGTGTGAAGAATATGGACTTTGTAATACTTTATCATCCTATCACAATCCTCTCCCTTACCCCACAACCCCCCCCCAGTTCTACCCCCACCGCCAGTGCTACTTGGCCAGACAGCCAAGTGAATGGCACTTACTCTTTTCAATTAGTGGGTTGGTTTGGCTGCTTCAGTTAAGACCAAAATTCTTAATTTCAAAGGAGAAACATGGCTAATAGAAAAAAAATTCCTATTTCTTTACAGAGAGTAAGAGTGGGGAAAGGAGAAACATTAAGGACAGTGTGCTAGCAGACAGATCATCCTCCTGACTTACAGTATCCACTTGACGCAGTACTGTGCCTTCTCCAAAAAAGAGTGGTTTCCGTGCATCCACCAAGATCAGGTCAAAGTAGGACTGCCATGGTCGATGGAAGCTACCAGGCTGGTGAAGGAGAAACAGCAAAAGCCGAAACATTACTCCTTACCTTAAGGCTTACTATTTAATCTTACTCAGATGCAAGGAATATAAAAATACTAAGTATAGACAGAAGATCCCACTATTTTATTTTTTAAAAAGGTATTATGTCTAATTATAAGCCATATCCTTTGGGAAGCACACAAGGTATAAATACTAAATGACTAATAATATTCTATACATTTTACATCATTTCATCTACTACTGAATTACAATAACTTACTTTACAGCAGTTTAATATATGAAAGTGTGCTCACTCTGAAATTTGCTAAAAGGAGCTTAAAAGACGTAGGGAGAGATGCAAATCAATACCCAAGGGACAGGTTAAGAGAGAGGTAGATCTGCATCAGAGCTAATGTATACAAACTAACATAAAACTATTATTAGGAAATTTTACTCGTTACGTTGTCAGAATGATAGCTCTAGGTACACACTGGCTTTTGGCTCACAGTGTAAGCTAATCACAATACTAATGAGCGAATTATGCCCATTGAAATCATGACTATCCTGAAATGAAACCTGGCATTAACCTTTTAAGACCAACCCAAAGGGCACTGCACACTGTGATTTCAGGTATTCTCAAAACGGATTTGCTGGTGTTTATTCACAAAAGTCTAGGACTAAAATTCCAAGTTGCAAGGAGTATTCCTTAAACCCAAGTGCAGCTGCACTGCATGAATGAAGACTTGTCTGCTAAATATCAAGGTTATGTGCTTTCTTGGCAAAAACTTAGCAACAACTAATGTAAAATGTAGAAGTTGTCAATAATATACACACATTTTCTTTTTCTGTTAATCCAATATCTTCCACAACCTGAAAATTCCTTTCATTGCCACACAAACTTATCAATTCTGCATAGAACTTCTCGGGCTTAAAACTGTTCTGATCCCATCCTACTAAATAGCACATGAATACCCCTTTATTTCTGTCTACTAAGTATTCAAGTTGCAATCTAAATTAGCAATTTGATTTTAAATTCTACTAGCTCCTATATTACTTCTAATGTTAATAAAGATTAGACAATAAGCTTAAAAAGAAGAACTCTTCTGGGTGGGTTCTGAAAAATTCTTTCCCCCTCAATATTCCAGAATGATTAAATGCATTCATTAGTATCAAAGCAATGGTCTACTGAGTCACATATAGTACCTTGGGGCCGTGTGGGAAATCAAACAGGTAAGTCATAATTTTCTGGGGGAAAAAAAAAAAATTAGCGTAAGGTCCATATACTACTTTTGCAAAAGGCATATAACCCAAAGAAACTACAAGCTTTTCATAAAACATATATTTTTCAACATAGGGTTCACCACATTCTTGATTTCTCTAAACTTTATGAAATGATGGCAGTAGAAGCCAGAAATTAATGCTTTGCCATACCAAAAAGAAAAGCTTCTAACATTTTCAGGGAGGATACATACTTCCTCTGGAAGATGGTTTTGAACACTCATTTGGAGGTAAGGAGCATATGAGGTTGGGGTATAGAGAAAACTAATGACTTACACAGAAATAACGTATTACCTTGGCTTCGCTCCTATCATCCCTAGACCAACTAAGTCTACAAACCAATGGTTTATATAAAACTGTTTACAGGTATTGATCGACTTACGACCTGTGCAACTTACGACCATTCGACTTTACGACCACAATCGCTAGCCATGACTGCTCTGCGTCTGGCAGCGCCAACGTTGCCCAGCTGGGCGTACGACAGTGCGGACCAGCTTCCAGCAGCACTACCATCTCCACGTGCATATAGCCTACTCAACTTACGACCAAATCGTGTTACGACCGGTCTGTCGGAATCAATCGTGGTCCTAAGTCGAGCACTAGCTGTACTACAAATGACTAGGTGTCTAAATCAAGTTTATATGTACAGCGAATTGAGGGAAATGGGACTTCTTGCTACTATAAACTTGTGTCTCAGCAAAAGTAAGATGAAACTAAGGAATTAAATCAGTTTTTCCACATGCTTTAATCATGGGGAAAAACTGTTATTAAGAGGTATTAGATTTTGATGACTAAGAGCCAAAACATCTTTGCACCATCTATTGCTGCAGGTTTTCCGGCAGCAGGGAAGTCACAGGCACACATCAATAAAGGGTGTGACTGCTCAAGTTCATAGAAATGATGCTGCAAAGAGACAAAAGTCATTTTAATCTTTACAAATGTTTTAAATAACCCCAAGATTAAAATTTTCAAGTAGCCAATTTATAATCAGTGAAAATAAATTTTTAGAAAAATTTGAGAACCACTCTTATTCTGTATATTTTTGCCTTTTCACTCTGCTTTGAAAATGAGATGGCAAGAAACTACTTTCACTGGATGAACTTCTATCCTCCTCATTGTCTTTGCAGTTCTTTAGGCCAAAATAATTCCTCTGCATAAATACACAAACATAAACATTAAGCACTTACATCTGTATATTTATAGTCACTGTTGGTAGCAAGAAATACTTTCCCTACTTCCTTCATCCGGCTCAGAAGCAAAGGCAATTTTCCCTAAAATGTAATTGGATAATGAGTGAAACACAAGAACATTCTTATTTTTGAACTCTGGTTGTCATATACTGGATTTCTGTCCACCACAACAGGAATGGGGGAGGCTTTTAAGGGTTAGTTGTATTCAGAATTTTGCATTTAAAAGCCCACATTATCACTAAAAGTATTAACATATGTAGTATATACAGTGTATATAATAGATTTACTTGTAAAATGATATGCATATTTATAGGGGTTATATGGCTGTTAACATATCTCTACCTTCCTCATATGTCTGCCTCAGGAAAGAGTTGAAATTACCTTGAGATTTCTTTAAGTATGTGAGGGGTGTTAGAGGTAGGGAGAGGCTGATTTAAACATCATCAGCAAATGTTCTACATAGAGATTATTAGATATGGCTTCAGTGTGTATACTATGGTTTTATAAAACACCTTGCAAAATGAAATGACATGTGCAGATGCTACCTAGAAATACCCACACCCACGCCACTTAAATGAGGAAATTCTAACTCCTCATGTGCCTGGAAAGAAAAATATCTTTTCTTTCTGTCATAGCAAATAGATTCCTTCACTCAAATTCTCCTGGACCCTCCCCATTCAGTGTTCTTTCTCGAAACAATAAGGGAGGTAGGTGAAAACAGGAGGCACAAAAACTGAAAACAAGAAATCTTTACCACAGTACTTTGAGAAAATACTGTATTCTGCTACTTTTACTCTGTAGGAAAAGAAAGAAGTATGTCATCTTGGGGCACTATGTGTGTTTAATTTTTATTCTAAAACAGTTTTAGACTTATAGAAAAGTTGTGAAAATAGTAGAGTTCCCATATATTCTTCCAGTTTCCCTTAATATTAACATCTTGCATAACCACAGTACAATTTAAAAGTATGAAATTAACATTTGTACAATACTATTAGCCACAGATTAAAAAAAAAAATTTATCAGGTTTCCCACTACTGCCTTTTAAGGTATTTTAAAGCTTTCCTCATTACTCTCTGTTGACAGGTTAAAGGATTTTAAATAACAGTAATATATATGCGCATTTTTGAGATGATTTAGTGCAGCAGTTAAGATTTGGGCATGACTTAGCTTTACTACTTACTGTGTGACCTTTGACAAGTTATTTAATCCCTCTATTTCTCAGATTTTTTTCTCTATAAAACAGGTAACACAGGGTTACACAGAATATTAAATGGCATAATGCATGTAATCACTTAGCATGGTGATGTGTATACAGTAAACCTCTAGCTGCTGTTACTATAATTGAAGCTAAACAAACAAATGAAATACTTAGTCTTCTTGCCTATCAACAAACAGGAAAAACTCTACAAAGACCTGTCCTCTAGCTGAAAATTCTTGGTGATTATACCTTGGAGATTATACTATGCCAAGACAAAGAAATACCTTCCTTTGTCCATTTCATTATAAATCAGCTTGTTAATTATTTCCCTAACAGGTAAAATGAGCTATTGTGCAGATCTATTTTCCCCTGTATTACTTACATCTTTGACCACATACTTCTCAAGATTTTCAACTGTCTTTTCCTTAAGGGAGCCCTAGGGGAAGAAAACAAAGGAATTAACAAAATCAGTTTTTAACATGTAATTTATACAAAAAATTGTGTTTTCTTATCAACCCAAATCATTTTTTTTTGACACAAGGACACCCTATTGCCCATGGTAGAGTGCAGTGGCGCGAGCACAGCTCACTGCAGCCTCAACCTCCCCCAGTTCAGGTCATCCTCCCACTGCAGCTGCCCAACTAGCTGGGACCATGGGTGCACATCAACATGACTGGCTAATTTTTTTGAACTTTTTGTAGAGACAGGTCTTGAGCTCAAGCAATCCACCTGCCTCAGCCTCACAAACTTCTGGAATTACAGGCATGAGCCACAGCCTCAAATGCATTTCTTAAAGATTTACCAACATGGTAGTGGAAAAACTAGAAAAGGCCAGGAAAAAGTAGCAGGTATCGTCTGCTGCAACCCTGCCTATAAAATTTGTCTTCAAAATAGAAAACAATTTCTATTTTAAGTTTGAAATTAAAAGGCATTTCATATTTTATTCAATACAGTTTATAATAAATGTAAATTTAATATTAATTATTAGGTGGGAGGTATCTGGACCAAAAAATGGACCACTGCCATCCGCAAAGGATATATTAAGTATAATGAAATACAATAAAACCTCTTCTAAGTTTAAGAAATGCAAACTAAGGCCGGGCGCAGTGGCTCAAGCCTGTAATCCCAGCACTTTGGGAGGCCGAGGCGGGTGGATCACGAGGTCAAGAGATCGAGACCATCCTGGTCAACATGGTGAAACTCCGTCTCTACTAAAAACACAAAAAATTAGCTGGGCATGGTGGTGCGTGCCTGTAATCCCAGCTACTCAGGAGGCTGAGGCAGGAGAATTGCCTGAACCTGGGAGGCGGAGGTTGCGGTGAGCCGAGATCGCGCCATTGCACTCCAGCCTGGGTAACATGAGTGAAACTCCGTCTCAAAAAAAAAAAAAAAAAAAAAAATGCAAACTAAAATAAAATCCAAAAGCCAAACACCATCACTGGGGAAAGATCAACATTACCTTGGAGACCAAAGACAAGAACAAATGTATTCTAGAGAGCTATCACTAGGGGGCAAATCCACTTTTTCTTTTTTTAAACAAAGGAAATATTCTGCTACTTTTGGAAAGTTAATGCCAGGCCATAAAATATATGCCAGAAAGCGAGCAGGTGAAGCGGCAATTTCTTGGTACCTTGTAATGAACCCAGTCAACAGCATCTCTTACATCCTGGAACATACTCCGGTAGGACATGAAGAGGTCCCCATCTTTAAATCCTGTTTCACAACTACAGAAAGATAAAAAGAACATGACAGGGGATCCAAAACAGGGTAAATAAAATATATATCAAAAAACTCCCAGGGGACCCAAAGGTTCCATATCATATGGGTAAAGGCTGTGGCTAATTAGGAAATAATTACTCCCTAATGAAAGTCCATTCTCACCACCAGAAATAGCTATAGTGTTCAATGGAATACAACAATTGTGAACAAATACAAAGTGATAGAAAAATATACTGAATGGAAGCTAAAAGGGCAAAATTCCAAAAATGTCAGTTTTTTTTTTTTTAATTTATCACTTTTTAGAAACAGGTTGAAGAAACATTTAAAACTTAAAATTGGTCATTTAGGTTCTTTCCACCCTGAGTTTTCTGACACTGTCCCTAAGTACAAAAGTACTGTCCATTTTTTATTTAGCTCAGCGCCTCAGCTTTCCACCAAATTTAGTGTCTTGAAGTGGATAAAGCCCAAAGAGGATATGAAGTTAGCCAACTCTGACATATACGGCTAAACTTTCAGTATTAGCTATATAATTCTCTCTAAAGGGAGAGGATAACTGGTTTAAGACTTACGCAAAATTTTACCTCTGGTAAGATATACAGTATTTATTCCTAATCAAATCTTGCCGGGCCTGGGAATCAAATTACCATCCCTGAATGGCTCCTGGGTAGCTGCTGTGAAATGAGTTGGGGGGTTTTAGTGTAATTCTGCTTGGACAGATAATCATCACACAAACCTCCCACTCAGTTGTCACAATTAGCACCTCTGCTGGCCGTCTTCATTCCCAGGAGAAGCCAATCAGAAGTGGTGGCTGCAGCACACTGGCAAGGAGAGGGGCCGTGTGGGAGGTGAGAGCCTGCATGGAGCTGCTGGTGCTGTCCCATCTCTCAGGCTGGCAATGTGGCATCTCTCACTAGCACTAAATTCACTTTAGAAAAGCAGAAAAGACCTACAATGGCCAGTTCTCTAAAACCCTGTACATTAATTTTAAAAATCAATTGGAAAAAAAAATTATAATATATACATACCTGGTATATCTGGGACAATTAGTAAAAAAATCTACTAGGCAGGCCAACAGGTAGGTCTCTGAAAAATGAAGAACAGATATTCATAAGCTATAATGAAATAATCCAAACTTATTTCATTATCTCCCTTGAACAGAGACTAATGGTCACAGATGGAAAAGCATCAGTATAAATAAGCATAGAATGAATCTACCTGGTAGGTTGAATAGTGTGTTCAGAATGTAAAATCTTTCAGTATCATCTCGCTGGATAAATTTATTTGGATACTGTTCTCTAGTTTCTGGTCTGAAAGAAAAATTTAAAAATTAACTAATTTTTAAAATAACATTATAATAATTGGGAAATAGCATTATTAAAAGATTCATTAAATTATTTTGATGGCTATATGCAAGACAGGATTCCAAACATTAAGCATGGCCAGCTATGAAGATGAATGAATGAGTTCAGGTTCCAGCTCTTTATTTTTTTAATTTTAATTTTTTTAAATTTTAATTTTAATTTTAAATTTTTTTGTTATTTTGCCCAGACTGGACTCAAACTCCTGGGCTGAAGCAGTACTTCCCACCTCAGCCTCCCAAGTTGCTGGGACTACAGGTGTGATGTTCAGCTTAGGTTCCATCTCTTAAAAGAACTGTCAGTGTGATGGAGAGGTGGCTCACATACACATATAATTGTAAGGTAAAAAAAATCACAATTACTACAAGAGAGGTGCAAAAAGCTATGAGAAAACCAAAGAAGGGAACACCACTGAACTTAAGGGGCAGAAGCAAATGTGAGGACTAAGGAGAGGAAAATCTAGGAAAGATTCATGCATGTGCTGGCATATGAGCTGTGCCTTGAAGGCTAGATGGACCAGTTGTGAAACTAGTCCAATTTGGGTAGTGAAAGGGAAGCAGAGAAAAATTAAGCTAGAAAGATAGGTTAAGGCAGATTAAGCTACTGTGTCCTACACCATTTCGGGGTAAGAGGGCCCTACTGACAGTTTTAAAGCAGAGGGATAATCCCATGGGAGCTGAGTTGTAAAACAAAATTAAATTAGTGGCTGTCTTAGGATAAACTGGAGAAAGACAATGTGATGCACTGCAACAATGGCCACAAATTCTTCCTGTCTCTTTGTGATGAAATTTTGTGGCTCCCCCAATTAGAACACAGTCTATTTCTCTATTCTTGCATATAGGCTTGTATAGCAGCAAATGGGATCCAAACAGAAACCTAGAAAAGCATTTGTGTACTGGGGCTTACTCTCCCTCGCAGCACTTGAAACCCCAAGACTACTATGTGCATGAAGAGTGAAACAGTCTGCTGGAAGATAGAAGGCTACATATAGAAATGAAGCACTCGGCCAACAGCCTGCCAATACCAGAATGTGCATAAGGCCATTCTAGATCAGCTGCCAGTTAACCAACAGCTAACCACAGACATGTGAAAAAGCCTAGAGACATCAGCTGTGCAACCCCAGAATCTCCCAGTTGACTCTCAGAATTTTCTTTTTTTTTTTTTCTTTCTTGAGACAGTCTTACTCTGTTGCCCAGGCTGGAGTACACTGGCGTGATCTCAGCTCACTGCAATCTCCATCTCCTGGGTTCAAGCGATTCTCCTGCCTCAGCCTCCTGAGTAGCTGGGATTACAGGCATGCACTACCATGCCCAGCTAATTTTTTTTTGTATTTTATTAGAAACGGAGTTTCACCATGCTGGCCAAGAAAACTCCTGACCTCAAATGATCCACCTGCCTTGGCCTCTGAAAGTACTGGGATTACAGGTGTGTGCCACCACATCCAGACACTCTCAGAATTTTGAGTTAAATAAAATGGTCACCATTGTAAGCCACTAAATTGT